ATAACATAATTATATCATTTTAGTATTTTCCAAAGTTTCAAAACTGTAAAATTATGCTATAACTAATAAATAAACAACAATTTAAAGTACTGCATTGGAAGGAATTAAAATATTATTATTTCAATATCAATTGTCAATATTCGGAAGTTTTCATAAAACGAGTCAAAATTTCTGACGACATAATAAATTAAAATAATATAAATTACTAGAAATTTAGTAAATAAACGGCAACAGAGTGGAAATCTAGACTCCAGACATAATTTTTATGTCGGTTTTATATCGGTTCTTATTTGTCCTTTTGTTTTGTTATAAAAAACTCTTGCGAGGAATTGAAGATTCTCGTCGGATTACAAAAACGTTAAGGACATTACTGTCGATCAGTGAGATTTGAAGTCATCAATGGAAGAGCTTCCTGCTGTATATGTATTCGAATGTGAGTTCCGAATATTCAAGAACACCAGGAAGACGAAAATACTGTTTTTTTTGACGATCTGTCAAAATCCAACATCGGATAATTCAGGAATCTGCGTTAGCACCGGCCACGTATCGATTATTATCGACTGCGGAAATTATATTGAATATTAATTAATTTAAATGGCAGCGAGAAGAGAGTTTGACTCGTCGGCCATTTTAGTCTCATTCTGGGTGTTTTCGACGTTGACACTCTGAGCGCTCTGAGAGCTCGAAAAGGTTCTCAACCACATTTTATTATTTTAGTGTATTTAACCTAATTTAACCTAACCTAATCCAATGCAATCTTCTCATTACGCTTTCAAGACCGGTGAAGACCACGCTGTTGCATCATGGAGGAAAGAATAATTTTAAATGATTTAGTTTTAAAGAACAATAAAACATTATTCAAGAATAATGGTCGTATTTCATGCGACGTAACGAACGTTGATACGGGTAAGTATTAATTTTAATGTAATATTTATATTTTTTATTTATTTTATTTATTTTATTTTATTTATTTTATTTATTTTATTTATTTTATTTTATTTATTTTATTTATTTTATTTATTTTATTTATTTTATTTATTTTATTTATTTTATTTATTTTATTTATTTTATTTATTTTATTTATTTTATTTATTTTATTTATTTTATTTATTTTATTTATTTTATTTATTTTATTTATTTTATTTATTTTATTTATTTTATTTATTTTATTTATTTTATTTATTTTATTTATTTTATTTATTTTATTTATTTTATTTATTTTATTTATTTTATTTATTTTATTTATTTTATTTATTTTATTTATTTTATTTATTTTATTTATTTTATTTATTTTATTTATTTTATTTATTTTATTTATTTTATTTATTTTATTTATTTTATTTATTTTATTTATTTTATTTATTTTATTTATTTTATTTATTTTATTTATTTTATTTTATTTATATTTTAGCAAGATTTTGTACAATTCCTATAGCGTTAACGTAATTGACTTCAGGGTTTAAATTTGCCATTTTTGAAAATTTTCCGTTATTTACCTTCGCACTCAGAAAACACGCTCGGTTTATTAAACAAGATTGAGAAACCAGAGCACGAGCACAGCCCGAACGCATCCTATTTCAAATAAAGCATGCAAATAACACACCCTTTTTTGTGCACATCACCTAAAACTGCAGCCCGTATCACAAACATGTCATTTTTAGCATGCTTTAGCCAATCATAATAAGTTATGGCTAATCATAATTTTTAATATTGGTTGAGAACCACTTAACACTTTCAGAACACTCAGAGCGTCGACGTCGAAAACACCCTCTCATCCTGGTGTTCGTCGAGTTAGTGTCATTCTTTTTTTGGTGAAATATTTCAAAATTTAAAGTGTAAAATTCAAACGAGGCGATGATCATCGTTGGCAACATTTAAATTCGGACGGTGTGTCACAATTATTTATTTTAGGGTCGTTTTCCTTCCGAAATGATCTCATTAATATTATTAAAATTTATAATTGATAATATAAAATTATGAATCTTTCGACCTTCTGCCAATTACTTGACTTTTTCTAAATTTTAATGTAAATATTAATAAATGTGGGAGTGATAGCAAAAGTGGGTTACAATTTAAGTGCAAGCATAAATAGGATAAAAATATTGTGAGCAAAAATGAGTTAAAATATTGTGATTAATTAATCTATTTATTAAAAATATTTATACTTTTTTATAGTAATTTTAGGTTTACAATATTTATTTAAATAATAAATTTATAAGTAAAGTTAAAGTCATAAACATATCTTTCAAATAGATAAATTATTAATCGAAATATTTTAAGCCGTTTTTGCTCGCAAGGCTTTTAAACTATTTTTGCTCCTATTTAAATTATAACCTTTGCTATCAGCCCCTCAAATAGTGTATTGTTGTAATTTTTTGTGTACTTAAAGGTGTTTATTCTTAGTTCTTAGTTCCAGAGCTGGTTTTTCCTATATGTAAAATTATAAACTTTTACTTTGTCGGGTTCAATATTAAACCAATCGTGAGCCTCGACAATTTCCCACTGGGTAAGATATCATAGGAGATCATCAAAAGATGTTTAAATTACATTTTATTCAAAAGCAAATAATTGATAAGATGTTTAGATGAAATTACACAACACATGAAAATTCCTTCATTTTAGAAAATCGACCATATATAAATATAAAATATAGCTTTCTCAATGTTTCAATATTTACGGTTTTATATAGTTGAAAGACGCGATGACGGATTTAAAAAAAAACAATCGTTGACAGGAACGCGACTATCTAGAATTATTTCAATGCCCTTAGGCGCAAAAGTTGAGACATTGGCGTCCTTTTAAGATTCACGCGTGACTGTAAAGTGCGCGCGCGCGCGCGTATAGTCAGGTCAAGGGTTCAACGGGACTTGGAGTTGAATGCAATCACTGACCCTCACGAATATACGCACGATTTAATTATATTTACGCGCAATGAAGACGTTGTTAACTCTGAAGAGTCAGTTTTTGACCTTCTGACAAAAGAATATTAACACATGAGAATCCAGGCAACTGCAATCTCACCATTAACGACGTTGCGCTTAGATCCTCTCTCTCTCTCTCTCTCTCTTTCTCTAAACATTATAACTATTCAAAGAGGGGAAAAAAATTAAGATATTCATTAAATGATGAAAAAATTTTATTACTGAATAATTAATAGACAGTAAAATTATCAAGTACATCGTATATATTGATGCATATGAAAAATATGTTTTTATGGCTTAAAATCAAAAAATTTTTAATAGAAAAGATGTTATTTGAATAGATAATTCTGTATTGTATGTTCAAGATACAAAAAAAAAACATTTAAATATGCATAAGAAGTTATTCGAAAATGATTTTGGTACCACAAAGGATTAAAGTTATCAAGATATAATAAAACTTGATCAATAACAAAATATATTATGTAATGATAATTTTCATCAAATCCGTATTGAAAAAGATAAATCATAACCTTGCCACCAATTTTCAAGATCATTTTGCTATTAATATTTGCATTTTTTTTTTTTTTTTTTAATAAGCATATGGATCTCTAATCGTATCTTCTCTTGATGCATTAGCGGCAGTTACATTACGTAATCAATCGTGAGGTGATCAGGTATAACATGACCCAGGATCAGCATATATAGAATCATCTGCTGATGGCCCAGGTTCGAGGTTGATTCATATAAGCGATTCTTAAGCGCGTGTTTGTGCATTTTTTGAATTTTTTTTTCACATTTGTGCGATCACTATGTCCTTGGCCGGCATCATAGTCAATGCACAAGTAAAAGAATTACTCTTTCATGTTCATTTTATACAATACATGTTCATCTTCATATACATTTTCATTGTCTAGATGACTCTCGACGTATAATAACGATTGGTCGAGTTTTTTTTCTCTCTCTCTCTCTTTCTATATTATCGATCTCGTATTTACGCTCTTCGACTCTTGATCGATCGTGATCTCGCGACATGTGCTTCTAATAACAATGATAATAGCTACAGTCAGAGACGAATTGCCTTGTTCATGAAATAAAAGAATTCTGAGAATATTTCAAAAGAAGTTTTATAAATATTGGAATTGCACTTTACATATATATATATATATATATATATATATATATAATAGAGTGAATAAATTGATCTTCATTTAAGTAGTATGGTTAGTTTTTAATGAGAATAAACTACGCGCTAGATCCTCCTTTTATTCAGAATAAGATTTATAATTTTGTACAATCTCCTCACAACCTGTTGAATTGCTTCATTATGTTTAAATTACTACTTAACGTTCTCCACATTTCGAAGGTGTATAAATTTACCTTAATTGACAAGAATGAAAACTTTATCATTATAAGTTAGCGCGCACGGTATGAAAATAAATCATTCTTTATATATTAAAAAGTGATGATGAAACGCTTGTTTAAAAAAAATTATATTTGAAAACGAATGCTATGTGTATGTATATATATATATATAAAAAAAAATATATAAATGGATCTGAAAATTAAGATTGCAAAACACAAGGATCCGATAAACTTGCCAACCTGCTTTAAAAGAGAATAACATAAAGCTAAAAGATTAATGATCATGGAGTGCACATTTCTTTGGATTGTATTGAGTTTATTTTCATCTCAATGACACCTGAGACATCTTTTCTGTCTTGCAAATAACGGAATTTCTCTCCCTGCATCTCTCGAGTATATAGAAAGTTTCATGTCACATAAAAACTCTACGTAATCGCCAACATTTATAAATGTGTATCATCGAATATCGTTTACAGTCCCAGGATTTTTTTTTATCCTCACTATAATATATATATTATCAGCTCGAATACCATTCGCCAGAAAATTTACTTAATTTCAACTTCTTTAGTTTACTGGGTAAATTTATTAATCATAGCGAGTAAATTTTAAACTAAATATGGGAATTAACATTATAATATACTGAAATGAAAAAGAAATCTGACCTTGTTTAAAAAATAAATGACTATGGTTTAAAAAAAAAATCGTTTTTCGACACACTAAAATTGTTTGCATTCTTTCTGATAATTAAAATAATTCTTTCAGACGCAATATTAATGGTCGGTGAAAGAAATTTATTTTTCTTTTTTTGCATTATAATAAATATATAAAATATTTTGTGAAAATTGTCAAGATGAAATCAACAAATTTGATTCTTATTAAGCCATTAGTGCTGGTACAAATATATATAAAGATTGCAATCGCAAAACTATGATTACAATCGTGATTATGATCATTACCATATAAAGGCATCTGGTAGAATCAGACTTGTAAAATTTTGTAATGAATTGTCGTCTGATCCGTGACTTCTGCTCAGTGTAACATATAATTTATACGGTAAGAGCATGAAAAAAATCGCCAGCAGAGCTTGTTCGCTCTTTCGTCGCTTGTTGGCAGTGCGCTATTAGCAATTTGAAATGTCGTATTTCCATAAGTTTATACTCGGGAAAGTTCATCTCACAGAGAATGTAGGAAGCCAGTATAATCACGCGCTAATAGTAGATAACAGATATATATATATATATATATATACAAGTTACGATTTTAGATTTCATGCAATGAAGATTAAAATCAGGATATTCATTGTCTCCACACATTTTCTGCAAGGATATACCCATAACAACAATTAATTATAGACATCACGCGATAATCAAGTCTATATATACATAAGAACTAAAATAAACATTTCTGGAAAAATTTTGCAGGATGCTGCACAGACAACCAGGAAATAAATCCCATAATTTATTTAATTTTTTTAAAAAAATTTTCTTTAACTTTACATTTATATAAAGAAATCTTCAATTTTTTGATATATGTTGAATTTTGTTTCTAAATAATAAATTATAGTTCTATTCTAATATTTTCAATGTTAATGGTATTAAAGTTAAAATCAATTGTCTTACCGGAAATAATTTAATTTTACTACTAATAAAATAAAATAAAAACCAGCTGTAAAAAAAAGTAACTCAAAGTTAACGCCATCTCTCAAGTTTACATCAGACTCTCATATCAACTTAAGAATTAAATCCTTTTGAATTCCCAAATTGGGAGAAATTTTTTGTCAATTTGAATCCCTTTCTGTTCCCATTGTAAATGTTGATCGATATTTCTCGAATGGGAGCCAAAGAAACAAAATGATAATTGAAGGAAAGGAAGTCCTCTCGATACGTCGATTTAACAATATAGACGACCTTACATAATGTCGAGGCCACGACTGCTTTAATCTCTTCTCATTGCTTGCAGCCATCTTCGGATCACGTTTCTTCCTAAGCGGACGAACCCATTAGTCGTCGAGATCTTTTTCCTCTACTCTTCCTTCTAATTCGATTCTTGAAAAAAGAAAAAATAATAATATCGTGCATTGTAATTCTCTCTACCCAATTTATTACATCTTGAGAATAAATATTCCCACCTCTATTAATTTTGCAAGATTTAATTGATCACGCTGCAAGTTAATATGACATAATTGTAATAATCATAACAATTAATCATAGAGTCCTGTCTCATTATGTGGTCTGAAAAGGTCACTCAATATTATTATCATCATTTTTTTTAAGAAATCACTTTATTAATTTCCAAGAAATCATTATTTTATTTATGTTTCCAGTTTTTGTAATCTTACTGTTATTATTAATAAAAGGAAAATGAATAGCTTTACCATAAGAAAATATATATGTACATAGAAAAAACGTGAATTCAAAATAATGCCTGCACAATATTGATTAACAATATTAATTATATCTAAATACAATTAATATAATATTTCTTTCTGTATATAAATTCAGAATATTTATAACTAAAAAGTTTTGATGATATAGATATTGAATAAATAAAATGTTTATAGAGTTAGTTTACTTATGATCAAATATTGATAATATTGTCATTATATATAATTTGCAACAGGCAATATGTACTTATGCTTATTTCGAAAAATAAAAAAACTATTTTACATTATACTAATTTATGTTAATTTTAACATTACGATTATAATATATTTGTATTGACTAAAAAATTTTTTTTACTTTATCAGTTGTATCAATAAAACTGTGGACATAGTTATACACTTTATTTGGAGATGAACAAAAATTTTATATATATTTTACATATTTTATTAAATATATTGTATATATAAACCCCCAGTAAGAAATAATTGTCAACACTATCACAATATTATTAAAAGCTCTAGAGTTTCATGAACAATATCAGGTAAAAAAATATGTTTTAAAATTTCTTCCTCATGCATTGTTTCCATTTTACGTAACTATTTGATAATCATAAACCAAATTTAAAGTAAAGATTTTTTTTCTTTAGAGTGTATTATATAAATCTAAACATTAAGAATTCTACTGTTAAATAAAAAATATTTTTATTATTAGCGTGGAAATTATTAATTGATTTATTAAACAAATTCTTCATAGCATATGATTTTAAAATTAATTTCAAGTAACTGCTTAAATTTTTAATAATTTTAATATATAGTAACATTCATTGTTCAATAATAAAATTTATTATTTTGTAGATAATATTTTCATTTGAATAAATAGTGCCCTCTTAATTGAAAGAGAAAACATTCACATCAACGACAAGAAAAAATAACTGAAATAGTATCATATTAATCAGACTGGTAAATATAAATGATAAACTATTAAAACTCAAATATCAAGAATGGATACATTTAAAAATCCACTAGAAACGGTACAACTTATACCAATCTTTAGTTATTTAAACATACTGAGTGATTTTTTATTTATTGAAAATTACCTGTCAGAAATCGATCAAAATAAACAAATCCCAATTGTTAATGCACTTTATAAATATATACACGACTATGAGAAGAATGAATTCAAGAAAGTACAATTAATTAGAGAATTATTAAAAGGAAGCGATCTATATGGAGCGAAAGACGACGAATACGTTGATGTTACTTTTGCTAATGTTATGTTTGACCACATTATTAGTTCTCTAGTATTTGACAAATATGGGAATATCTATGGCTTTTTAGCTAATATTTTTCGTAAAGCTGAAAACACACAAATAGAAGAAGTATTGAATAGGATAATATTAGATCTTGAAAATGCGTCCTTTGAAAATGAATATGGCGATAGTTCAAATCTTAGTTTTCTAGCAGTAGGTAGAATATATAACGACATAATCTTACCTCTATTTCCTATACCAAAAGCCAATCTTAGTTTATTGTCTATTGATTATATTTATGCACAAGCTGGTTCAATGTTTCTTCGAGGTGGTAGAATAAATACCAACAATTATATTAAATTCGAAAATAATGTTGAAAATCCAACTGAGGATAATTTATTTGACCAATACTTAATAACCGGTCAAGTAATTGAAAAGTTAATTTTAACTGATGAGAAGAATTTTCAAATGTTAAAAGCTTTTGCTCTCCCTGCTCTAATGTATTATATTTTTAATTCAGAATATTTTTTTGCCTATGAAAACATGGTAAATGTAATTTCAAATTTACATTTCTGGCAGACAGCTTATAAACATTTATTTCAATATACAACTAAAACTTTTAATGACATTAATGTTAAGTTAAAGAATGACTACACATTAAAAATACACGTGCCACTTTCTAGTTTTCAAAGTAGGATATCATTGTCTAAAACTTTGATGAAGCAACATTTGCGTAGTTTGGATGAAAATGAAAGAGAATCTCCAGATTCATTTTACAGGCATTATCCTGAAACTTTTCGTTGTGAAATTCAACAGTGTCGTCTTGGTCATGATGATTATTTTAGGAGTCAAGTAAGTAACATAACGGAATTATATGGAACATATGTTTTACAAATAGTTCAAGAGGCCTTTCCAAAATCTCTTATAGAAAAACTTGGCAATATTACGGTTATTATAAAATTATTAGTACCTATAAATATAACAACATATGGTGATTTTGAAGAACCGCAAAATTTATCTTATGACGTTTTGGAATTTTATTATCCAAATAATAAAATAAGTTTCGAATACTATATTTTAAAACAAGAAGATTACAATGCAATATTAACCAAATATACTGATAATGAAAAAGTCTTTACAGAAGACATTAGGTTATATTTTGAAAAATTATTTAGTGTGTCAACACCTATAATTTTAAAAAGAACTGATGAAAATATTACAGTCTTTTTCCAAAACTTACTAAATTATAAAAAATCACGGTTTGAGTCTCAGTTAGAAATTTTAGACGATTGTCAAGCGGAAAATAAAGAAATGAAAAGTGATTGGTGGAAAGAATTTGGTTTATCATTAGTGCCATATTATCCTTGTTTATCAGATACATTTGGAAAAAATTATAGAAATATTTGTGCATCGTATAACACAGTATTTTTTTATAAATCTCCAATTGACATATGGGCAAATCCACAGAACCGGCCGATTTTTACTTATCAAGATGAAAATTTTCCAAATAGCAAGCACACCTTTTATTTATGGTTTACTTTCTTTAAAATATATTCAAGAACAATTATCTTCTTGCGTGATTCATTTTATTTTAATGCCGTTTGAGTTAAAAGCCAAAAACGAAAATATTATTTTTCTTTTGGAAATTATAATTAAAAATGGCATTTCTTTGTTTTTTTTATATATTATTTGAAATATGTGCAAAACATTTTGAATAATAAAATATGATAAAATACAAATAATTAATTTTTTAATTATCAAAAATAAATTATTTATATTTTATCATATTTTATTATATATTTTATTTATTAGCATTTAATTTTTTATTTCTGTAAATTAAATTGTTTACTTACTAATTTTGATATTAACTATTTTAACCAACAAACTGACATTATTGACATCGATTTTGATATAACTTTGAAAATAAAACAAATGAAAGGATAATTCATTTTTCACGATTAACTAGTTAAATTTCGATAAATTTTTTTTTATTTTTAATTTTTAGACGTTATAAATTGAAAATATAATTTGGCGTTTGCATACAAGAATTATAATAATGTCTTTATATAATCACACATGTTTTCAACTCATCATATTTTATCCTGTAGTTGTGCTACTGAAAAAAGGCTAAGTTGAAAATGGTTCACGCTTAAACATAGAGTGATAATTATTGGAATATTTTCTTTAATTCTGATTGCACTCTATTCTATGATACATACATTTGTTCGTCTGTTCACAAGCAATAAGCTCCAATTTGAAAAATTCAAATCGAATAATCGCCGCAAAAGATATTTACAAAAATGTATAGACATTTCATTATTATAAAATAATGAGTAACGCTACTTTCAACGACTATCATTTCTTTTTATTTAAGAGCACATATTTTTTATTACTTTCAAAACATTCTTCAATAAGTAAACTATAATTCACCACAGTTTGGAATTGTTCGGATCTATGCCGAACAAGTTATACCTATAAGAATTAAAATTTATACCTGGAGTAACACCGTAAATTTCATTTTTTAAGTTACTTAATTCGATTTTATTTTTTATAAAAGACTAGAAGGTTCACATTTATTCAATTTTCTTATTTCAATAGGTTCTCAGAGATATTACAAAATGGTTGAAGTATGAAAATAATTAATATAATACTTCTAAAATAGAAAAATATGTGAGTAACATGAAATCGGCCGGTTCTGTGGATTTGCCCATATCTTCAAAAGCAATACAAACTAATTCACGTTCTTTTCTGTCTTCATTAGGCACAAATATCAAATCTGTGTTTTTGAAAATTGCAAGTAGTGAAACAGTAGATGAAATTATAACAAATCGACAAAATTATAAAATTTTAATAATAAATCTATTAAGTAAAAACAAATTTCTTGAAGAAATTTGTTTACACATAAAGGATCCTGCATTTCAATTGACATTTATAACTAAAGACGATGTGAGTGTACTTGAAAGAATAATTAATTCATTAAGAGAAAAATTCGATTTCAGTTTTACGTCAGTCATTAATAGTCTCTCTAAAATATCAACTTTAAAATCCAACTTATACAAAAGCGTTGGTATTATTGGTGAAAAGAATTCTCGATTAATTTTCATAAATACTTTAAATAACCAAAGTGGTTATGGTTATAAGTTTATTTTTATATCTGACGATGTGTCAAAAATTGCACAGTTAAGAACAGGTTACGAATTTAAAGATAAAAGATTTTTAGCACAAGGGGACATAGAAAATGAAATGAAAATGTTTATTGCTCTTAATAATGTAAGTTTTAAACCTGAATATGTTATGTATGAAATTAATAATCAACTTTGGCGTAGACCTAAAAAACTTTTATTTTCTGGAATACCAATTCAAGCTGATGATTATGATGAGAAATGTAATAATGAAATTAGTTATTTTAAAAAGTCGAAACTTAATAATCTTTGTCAAAGACAACAACGTTTTAATGAAAAAGCTAGATACGAAAAAGAGGCCGTAACATTTATTAAGAACAGTTCAAGTGTTCCTGATGATCGCATACGCAATGTACTTGGAAAATTCACATTTCCAGATAAAGCAACCCTAGTGCAATTTGTCAATTATTGGCTTAAAAACAATTCCTTTGAAGAACCTATTTGGAGTGCAAACTATATACTAGAAAATCCTGATCTTTTAAGAAAATTAAGATATGACCCACGTTTTGAAGAACACAATATTTCAAACTTTGATGGTGAATTTAGAATCAATGCTCTTTATTCGAAAGAAGAAAGACGTCAGATTGAGGAAGAAGCATCTATAGAAAATATAATTAAAAATTACAACGAACAGAAAGCAAGGTATTCAGTAACATTTCATGATTACTATGCGATAAGAAATTATGTGACAACAGGATACACAAGAATAACAAGGGATACCCAAGAAGCAAAGCTGATGAAAATTGCATTATATAAATTGGCTATAAGACAGTCAGACGATCCGGACCGGGAGTTTGACTTAAAATTATTTAGATTAGAAGCTAAACCAATTTCCATTGCCAGAATGTTATCTTCTCAATATAACATTATTTTACAAAAATTTACACAAGCTTATCCAAATCGAACATCCGCTATTAGATTTGCTGGTTATCCAGCACCTGAATATATGAATATTTTGTATGAAATGGATTTTAATGGATTATATGTAAGGGCAAAAATTGAACAATTTTATAATGTAAAAGAGAAAAATGTTATTCTTTTGCCTGGAAGTAAGTTCTTTATCGAAGACCACGAAATAGTGAACGTTAAAGAATTAGGCAAGGTTTTAAAATTAAAGCTAACGTTTCAACACACTATTGATGAGAAGTACATGTGGTATAGAAATATCATGAACAAAATCGAACATATTAGTTTCTAAATATTGTATATGGGCGATTCCACGTTAAATTTACAATCAAATTTTTAATTCGGCCAAAAACATTTTTTCTTCATTCCTTATTGAAAAAAAGGATACGTATTTTTTTTTTATGGCCAAATTTTCTCACTATGAATTTTTGAAATTTTAGATTTTCAAAAGTCGATTTATTTTCAATCACATGTATCTTTAAAATTATCAACTTTAGAAAAATTTTGCTAATAGAAAAAAAGTTTAGTTTTTTCACGACTTTTAAATAATTTAAACAAAAAAAAAATTTGAATTTTTATAAAAAAATATTAGTTTTTTATAAACAAATTAATGTTTTTTACATTTGGGCCCGATTTTTTTTTTATACCTACCTGGAAGTGTTAAGAAGACTTTAGAAAAGGTTTCAGAGTGGGCCTGATAAGTTTAATAAGTTTAAATAAATATTTAAACTCGGATTGCAAGCTTAATGCGCGCGCGGTGCTTTGTGAGTCTATCTAGTTTGAAAAGAAATTTTCTTTAAGAGGCATTTTATATTTTTTTAACTTGTTACATCTGTTTATTACAAAACGGATTTGTTAAAACTTTAAATATAAACATATTTAAACATTTCTATTGTTTATACGATTAATTAAATTATAAAATTATAAAAAACTAATATTTTTTTTATAAAAATTCAAAATTTTTTTTTTGTTTAAATTATTTAAAAGTCGTGAAAAAACTAAACTTTTTTTCTCTTAGCAAAATTTTTCTAAAGTTGATAATTTTAAAGATACATGTGATTGAAAATAAATCGACTTTTGAAAATCTAAAATTTCAAAAATTCATAGTGAGAAAATTTGGCCATAAAAAAAATACGTATCCTTTTTTTCAATAAGGAATGAAGAAAAAATGTTTTTGGCCGAATTAAAAATTTGATTGTAAATTTAACGTGGAATCGCCCATATACTGAAATTCTAAATCTTAAAAAAATTATTGTTTCTTAAACTTCAGTTGTCACAAACTGTTACAGTATTAGTGATGTGTTTTTTTAAATATTTTTTTTTCCTGGGTGTAAAACCATTAAAAAGTATTATATTTATCATAAAATAAAATTTTATAATGGTCTGAGCATTTTTTTTAATTTTCTTTTTTTGACATCAAACTGCTGGTTCAAAAGTTTTGTTTCATTTTTCAAAGGATGCTAACATTCAAATTGTCAACACAAGAAATATTGTTAATATAGATATAGAATAAATAAAATGTTTATAGAGTGACTTATGATAAAATATTGATAATATTGTCATTATATGTACCTTGTAACAGACAATATGTACTTATGCTTATTTCGAAAAATAAAAAAACCATTTTACATTACACTAATTTATGTTAATTTTAACATTACGATTATAATATATAAGTTTTGACTAAAAATTTATTTTTACTTCATCAGTTGTATCAATAAAACTGTGGACATAGTTATACACTTTATTTGGAGATGAACAAAAATTTTATATATATTTTACATATTTTATTAAATATATTGTATATATAAACCCCCAGTAAAAAATAATTGTCAACACTATCACAATATTATTAAAAGCTCTAGAGTTTCATGAACAATATCAGGTAAAAAAATATGTTTTAAAATTTCTTCCTCATGCATTGTTTCCATTTTACGTAACTATTTGATAATCATAAACCAAATTTAAAGTAAAGATTTTTTTTCTTTAGAGTGTATTATATAAATCTAAACATTAAGAATTCTACTGTTAAATAAAAAATATTTTTATTATTAGCGTGGAAATTATTAATTGATTTATTAAACAAATTCTTCATAGCATATGATTTTAAAATTAATTTCAAGTAACTGCTTAAATTTTTAATAATTTTAATATATAGTAACATTCATTGTTCAATAATAAAATTTATTATTTTGTAGATAATATTTGAATTTTAATAAATGATGACCTCTTTATTGAAAGAGAAATCATAGACATCAACGGCAAGAAAATATAACTGAAATAGCATCATATTAATCAAACTGTTAAATATAAATGATAAACTATTTTTATAGTTTTCTTAAATATCAAGAATGGATACATTTAAAAATCCACTAGAAACGGTACAGCTTATACCAATCTTTAGTTATTTAAACATACTCAGTGATTTTTTATTCATTGAAAATTGCCTCTCAGAAATCGACCAAAATAAACCAATACCAATTGTTAATGCACTTTATGAATATATACACGACTATGAGAATAATGCATTAAAGAAAGTTCAATTAATTAGAGAATTATTAAAAGGAAGCGATCTGTATGGAGCGAAAGACGACGAATACGTTGATGTTACTTTTGTTAATGTTATGTTTGACCACATTATTAGTTCTCTAGTATTTGACAAATATGGAAATATTTATGGTTTTGTGGCTAATATTTTTCATAAATTAGACAATTTACAGATAGAAACAGTACTTGATGAGATAATATTAAGTCTAGACAATGCATCTTATGAAAACGAATACGGCAACAGGTCTAAACTCAGTCCTTTATCATTGGCAAGAATATATAACGACATAATATTACCTCTTTTTCCTATACCAAATAGTAATCTTGATTTATTGTCTATTGATTATATTTATGCACAAGCTGGTTCAATGTTTCTTCGAGCTGGTAGAATAAATACTAACAATTATATTAAATACGAAAACAATGTTGCAAATCCAACTGAGGATAATTTATTTGACCAATACTTAATAACTGGTCAAGTAATTGAAAAGTTAATCTTAACTGATGAGAAAAATGTCGAAATGTTAAAAGCTTTTGCTCTTCCAGCTCTAACTTATTACGCTTTTAATTCAAAATTTTTATTTGACTATGAAAACATGGCAAATTTTATTTCAGAGTCATATTTCTGGCAGACGGCCTATGAACATTTATTTCAATATACAACTGAAGCTTTTAATGATATTAATGTTGAGTTACAGTCTGATTACACATTCAAAATGCACATGGCACTTTCTAGTTTTCGAACTGGCAACGCATTAGTCGAATCCTTCGCGGAGAAAATCAATAATTGTAATTTAGCACTTTATTCATCTAATTCTGAATCATTGTACTATCAATATAGAAAAGGTCAAGCTAATATAAGTGAATATGCTAAAAGTAAAATTAATAACATTTCCGAATTATATAAAACACATGAATTGCAAATAGTCGAAAAGGCCTTTTCAAAATCTCTAATGGATCAACTTGATCTTATGACAGTTGTTATAAGATTGTTAATTCCTAACAATACAGTGTTTTATAATGATTTTGATGAGTCAAAACATTTACCTTATGATATTTTAGAATTTTTTTTCCCTAAAAATATAAGTTTTGAATACTATATTTTAAAACGAGAAGATTACAACGCAACATTAATCAAATACACCGATAATGAAGACATTTTTGCAGAAGATATTAGATTACATTTTGAAAAAGTATTCAGTGTTGCGACACCTATTATTTTAAAAACAGTTGACGAAAATATTACTGTCTTTTTCCAAAACTTAATAAATTATAAAAAATTGCGATTTGAAAGTCAGTTAGGAATTTTAGACAATTGTCAAGAAGAAAGTAAGAAAATAAAAAGTTACTGGTGGAAAGAATTTGGTTTGTCATTAGTGCCATATTATCCTTGTTTAGGAACAAATTACGGGAATATTTGTGTGCTAAGTAAAGAACATTTTTTTTACAAATACCAAAATAACATATCTTCAAAAGCAATCAACAATAAATCACGATCTTTTCTGTCTTCATTAGGTACAACTATCAAATCAGTATTTTTGAAAAATGCAATTTCTGAAACAGTAGATGAAATTCTAATTGAAGAACAAAAATCTGGACTCACAATAAAAAATTTAGTAAATAAAATTGAATTATTTAAGGATATTTGTTTACACATTAAAGATCCTGCATTTCAGTTGACATTTACAACAGAAGACAGAATACTTTTATTTGAAATAATAATTATTTCTTTAAGAGAAAAGACAAATTTTAAAATTAATTCTACCATAAATAGTCTTTATAAGATAAAAATCTTAAAATCAAATTCTTTCAAAGCCATTGGTACTGTTGGTGAAGACAATACTCGATTAATTTTCATAAACAATTTATATAATCAAAGTGATACTGGTTATGGTTATAAGTTTATTTTCCTATTTGACGATATATCAAAAATTGCTCATTTCAGAACTGGTTATGAATTAAAAGATGAGAGATTATTTACAGAAGGGGACACAGAAAACGCAATAAAAAAATATATTGCTTTAAATAATGTTAGTTTTAAACCTGAACCTGATCATTCTATGTATGAAATTAATAATCAACTTCGTAAGAGTCCTACTAAAGTTATTTTTTCTGGAATAAAAATTCAAGCTGATGATAATAATGAAAAATGTAAGGATATACAGAACCTTAAAATTTGGAAAAGTTTTAACATTTGTCGAAGACAACAACGTTTCAATGAAAAAACTATATACGAGAGAAAAGCGATAAAATTTGTAATGAACAAGACAAATATCCTTGAAGAACAGATAACCAGCGTATTTGATAAATTCACATTTCCAGATAACTTAACTCTAATGCAATTTGTCGATTATTGGATATATAACAATTCCTTCGAAGTACCTGCTTGGAGTAGAATCTTCGAAATTGAAAATTCTGACCTTTTAATAAAATTAAGATACCACTCACGATTTGAACAACATGCTATATCAAATTTTGATGGTGAATTTAGAATCAATGGCCTCTACACGAAAGCAGAAAGACATCTAATTGAGGAAGAAGCACCTATAAAAAATATAATTAAAGAGTACAATGAACAGAATGCAAGTTATTCTGTTGCATTTCATGATTACTATGCGATACGAAATTTTGCTACAACAGGATACACGAGAATAACAAGGGACACCCAAGAAGCAAAGCTGATGAAGATTGCATTATATAAATTAGCTATAAGACAATCTGATGATCCAGAAAATCAGTTTGATTTAAAATTATTTAGAGTCGAATCTAAACCAATTAAAATTGATAGAAAGTTATCGCCTTATAATAATATTACTCTAACTAAATTTACACAAGCTTTTCCAAGTGCGGCCTTTGCTAAAAGTTTTGCTGCTTATCCAGCACCTGGATGTATAAACATTATGTATGAAATGGTGTTTAGTAGACCTTATGTAAGGGCAAAAGTTGAACAATTTTACAACCAAAAAGATAATAATGTAATTCTTCTACCTGGAAGCGAGTTTTTGATTGTACATCGTACATTTGTGAGCATTGGAGGATTGGGCAAGGTATTAAAACTAAAGCTAATGTTTCGACATACTTATGATGAAAAATATGTTTGGTACAAAAATATCATGAATGAAATTGCACACATCAACTTATGAATATTGTATAAAAAAATTTGAAATTAAGTATTTCTGTCACTAAAATGCTTACTTTATATAGATATAGAATAAATTAAATGTTTATGTATTTAGTTAGAGTTAGTTTACTTATGGTAAAATAGTGCCAAAAGACAATAAATAACAACTTATTTGTTCTTAACAACTCTCACAGCAACTGATACTTTAGAATATCCTACGGACAGCCTAGAAGTATCTGGAGTGGGATTACAAATAGCGACAGCTATTCAAAGCTACATTCATTTTAAAAAATTTTCTTGCTATCGGGTGACTAAAAAAATGGTATCATTTTGATAGATTTAGGTTGGTACAATTGTTTTTCTGTGTATTTTTTTACTCATATTTGCTTTATTTTATAATTTAACAATTTTTTTAATATTAAAAATGTATCAAATTCATAAGGATTTCCCACGATGAAGAAATGAAGCAATTAAAAGAAATATCTAAAAGCCTGACAAATTTTCCAAGTGTAACAATTTCAAAAGTTATAAAAAAGGCAATTTGAGGCAACGATAATTATTAATATTATTATATTAACACTTTTATTTCTAAATTTTAACCTGAAATTTTTTTATAATTAATAATTATAAACTAAATAAAACATAAGAATAATAAAGAAATAAAGAAAACATTTATTTTAAATTTCTATCCTTACAAAATGTCAAGAAAATAATTCAACTTTATCCAATATTAGACATTGTCTAAAATGGGGAAAAAATTTAATTTAAAAAATTTTGAAGATATAACTTCGGAAATAGAATTTTTGTTCTCACGCCAGGTTTCACTAAAAAAATGTATAGGGCATTTTTTGTGAGTTAAAGAGTTTTTCAAGAAATGCAAATTTAAATCAATTTAATTTAAAAAGTTTATCAATTTTTAAATTTAGGCTGGTAAAGTATATGCTAATTTTAAATCTCATGCAATTATTATTTTAAATTCTTGCAATAAGATTAATTTTCTTAATTTTTATTTATTAAATTAAATTAAAAAAATTTATTTCCTTTATAAATTATTTTAACATTAAACTAGATAATTTATTTTTAAAGTTGTTATTTATTAAATTAATAGGTTATTTGCAATATTAAAGTATAATTTATTTCGTCACTAGTTAATTATTTTATTTGAAACTAACAGTTCGCAAACATGAAGTTAGAGAATTGTTTCCACCTTCGTGTAATATTTGTTTGCTACGTAGATAAAACCTTTTAGGAAATTGACATGAATTCTATGTCAAAGGTCTTATCCAGTAGGGTTATGTTTATATTCTCTTTGGAATTACGATCTTGCTGTTTAAGTTTTGAAAAAACTGTCAACGCTATTTTATTTTGGACATCATTTAGAACAAATTTGACTAAAAATATGTAAGTTTTTAACCCTAAATAGCGAAAAGCGCTAAATAGCGACAAGCGCTATTCGTAATCCCACTACTGGAAATTTGGATTTACCCAGAATATCCAATGACCAAATGATATTCCCAGAACATCCCAGAATATTCGTTGGATATCCTGAATATTTTGATGCTTTAATATTGTTACTTACAGGGTTTTTTGGAATCACTGATTATAAATGTAAAGTCAATTTAAAAAAATTCAAAATAGAGGACAATTTTTTATTGGATCTGTTGTTTTTAATTGTAAAAATATGAAATTAGATTTATCTTCAGCTACATGAATCCTACACAAAAATCAAGTTTTATAGAAATCCGTAATAGTTCAAATTTAAAAAAATTGTAAGCAGCCTTTCTGTATTCTTCATTTTAAATTACGGAAATCTAACATTATATTCATAATCATCAACCCAAAAAGAACCTGAAACCAAATTTCATATGAACTCGTTCATTGATTAAATTTTTTAAAAACTGTTGTTTATAATTTTCTTTGTAAAATTAAGAACTATTGTGCCTTACACTAATTTATGTTAATTTTAAAATTCCGCTTATCTTATCTACGTACTGAGTAAATATTAAGTTTTACTTTTTCAATTGTACCAATAAAACTATAGACATGGTGAAAAATTTTGGTGACAGATAAAAAAAAATATAAATCCAGTTTGAATATTAACACTGAAGTTTCGATCGCAATAGTAATTTGCTTATAAAAAATAATATATTTTTTTAAACTACTTTCTATATAATAAAGTATTTACAAAAATAATCTAACTATTGAAATCAGCAGCGTATTAAAATACTGTACAAGGTAAATAAAATTACGTAATAATATAATATAAATTTTATATTTCTGTTTCTATTGCACCTAACTATTTACTAACCATCAACTAAATTTCAAGTAAAGCATTTTTTCCCTCGAAATTAGTGTATTGTATTATATATACATTGTACTATTATATTGTTCTATTGAATTAAAATATTTCTGTCAAGCATGAAAATTACTTTTTTAAAAAAATATACAACAAAACTCACATTTTTTGACAAATTCTATAGCATAAATACATTTCAAATAAAAGCATTTAATATTTCTAAAGACGTTATTGTTTATTAAATAGAATGTTATATAAATTTTATAAGTTAATATCAAAACTAATTTTAACTTTTAAAAAATAATAATGTCGTTTTTTTTAACGATTAAATAAATATTTATCCAGAACAAAAACTTAAAAAAAAAATTATTTCAAATAATAATAATAATAATTTAATTAGTAAAAATTATAAAATAATAATTTTAGCTTATAGTTTAAAGTTTGTTTTAAATTTCAGTAGATGATAATATATTGCTTAATGTAACAGATTTTTTCAATCAGAGTGATATTAATTTATAATTTTTACATAATTTTTTACCTGTTATTTCCATCTTTTATTTCAATCCATAATATTTGATTCACTCGCAATAATAATTTTTAAGTAGGACTTAAAGTATTTTCCACTTTCTAAATCTGAATTAGTTGAAAATAAATAATTTTTAGTAAAATCTTGGCTGTCGTTTTGCTTCAGCAATTAAAAAAATAAATAACTAATAATTAGTAAAAAGTAACTATTTTTTATTGAAAAAATAGTCGAATTTAACAAATTTAATTAATTACCAGAAATTTTAAATACTTTGACATAACCTAAAAGTGAATTTAATAATTAGTTATTTTTAACTAAATCAAATCTAACAAGTAGTATGTGTTTATTAGGGCTACAATGTTAATTCTATCAAGAATTTGAATATTAAAATATAAATTAGATTGAACTACAATTTTTGTGAAAATGTCTAAAATACATTGTGACCCTTCATAAAAAAAATCTCAAATCAATCCATTCAATATTTTAAGAGTAAATTTCCCGATGAAATTAACACTGTGGATAAAGTATAAGGCAAACATTTGTGTTAAACATAAATTTTTCTAAAATAACCTCTCAGTTACTGTTTTAGTAGTTTTGTATCATTTTCTACTAATTTAAATTTATTAAGATTAACACTAATTCTTCAATAATTGTGTATATCATTTTTCAGATAATAATTGAATTACTGTAAATGATATCTCTTTTATGGAAACCAACGACATTGACATTAATGACAAAATAAAAAGTAAAATAGTTTCATATCACCAATTGTAAGACTATTAGTATCATACAATTTCATACAAATATTCAGTTGTAAATAAAAATGATAAATTACACCGTCCGACAAAATTCAACTTTTTTTTCACACATGAAAAGATCAATGATTTTCAGAAACTAGGACCAAAAAAAAGATACCCGTGTCTGGCCGTTTTGCTAGATCAGGTCATTTTTTGATTTTAGGGGTAAAAACAGCCCTTAAATGAAAGGTGATAGGAAATCTTGTACAAATTAATAATTTTTTATGAAACATGGTATCTCAGGTTTTTCCGGGTCGCTGATTACGAATCTGATTTCAGATTTTCAAAATTCAAAATGGCGGATCCAATATGGCGGTCGAAATTTATAAATATTAATTATTTTTTATAAAACTTCGTATCTAGGGGTTTTTGGGGTCGCTGAGTACGAATCTGAAGTCAGATTTTTAAAATTCAAAATAGATCTAATACTGTGAAAGATTAGACAGTTATTTATATGTTCGTTTTCAGTTGCATAGTTACGGAAAATAGTACATAAAACAAATGACAATTGTAGACTTTTTTACTTTGCACAGCAGTTTTAAACAATCACTTCACATCTTTAAATTCATCTTACTTGAGCCTATTACTGTTATCTAATAAAAATATTCTTACTTACTACAAAGCCTTTTTTGTCATTAAAAAAGTGTCCAATATACAACAAACACATATGTGGAAATTTTTATTTTTTATATATTGTTTTCTAATCTTCCACATTATTAGATCTATTTTGAATTTTAAAAATCTGACTTCAGATTCGTACTCAGCGACCCCAAAAACCCCTAGATACGAAGTTTTATAAAAAATAATTAATATTTATAAATTTCGACCGTCATATTGGATCCGCCATTTTGAATTTTCAAAATCTGACATCATATTCGTTATCAGCGACCCCAAAAACCTTAAAGTAACAAGTTTCAAGTAAATTCGATGAACTTTTATAAATTTCGACCGCCATATAGAATCCGCCATTTTGAATTTTGAAAATCTGACATCATATTCGTAATCAGCGACCCCAAAAACCCCTAAGTAACAACTTTCAAATGAATTGGTGAATTTTTATAAATTTCGACCGCCATATTGGATCCGACATTTTGAATTTTCAAAATCTGACATCAGATTCGTAATCAGCGACCTGGAAAACCCCGAGATACCAGGTTTCATAAAAAATTATTAATTTGTACAAGATTTCCTATCACCTTTCATTTAAGGGTTGTTTTTACCCCTAAAAGCAAAAAATGACCTGATCTAGCAAAACGGCCAGACACGGGTATCTTTTTTTTGGTCCTAGTTTCTGAAAATCATTGATTTTTTCATGTGTGAAAAATCGTGTCGGACGGTGTTATTATAACTCTAATATTAAGAATGGATACATTTAAAAATCCACTAGAAACGGTACAACTTATACCAATATTTAGTTATTTAAACATACTCAGTGATTTTTTATTCATTGAAAATTATCTATCAGAAATTGATCAAAATAAACAAATCCCAATTATTAATGCACTTTATAAATATTTGCAAGACTACGAGGAGAATGAATTCAAAAAAGCTCAATTAATTAGAGAATTGTTAAAAGGCAGCGATCTTTATGGAGAAAAATATGAAGAATACGTCGATGTTACTTTTGTTACAGTTATGTTTGAGCACATTATTAGTTCTTTAGTATTTGAAAAATATGGAAATATTTATGGCTTTTTGGCTAATATTTTTCGTGAAGCAGAAAACCCACAAATAGAAGAAGTATTGAATAGGATAATATTAGATCTTGAAAATGCGTCTTTTGAAAATGAATATGGCGATAGTTCAACTCTTAGTTTTCTAGCAGTAGGTAGAATATATAACGACATAATATTACCTCTGTTTCCTGTACCAAATACAAATCTTAGTTTATTGTCTATTGATTATATTTATGCACAAGCTGGTTTAATGTTTCTTCGAGCTGGTAGAATAAATACCAACAATTATATTAAATTCGAAAACAATGTTGCAAATCCAACTGAGAATAATTTATTTGACCAATACTTAATAACCTGTCAAGTAATTGAAAAGTTA